AGGGGTGTTGATGAGCTCCAGCTCCCATCAGCTCCAGCCAGCATGACCAGCAATCGGGGATTATGGGAGTTGTAGTCCGTCAACATCTGGAGGGCCACAAGTTCATCAACCCTGCTTAAATACTGAGATTTTTTTTAAGCCACTTGCAATGTGGGTCAGGGGATGCTGTGTGTGATTCAGAAATGACAGAAAGCTCCACACTGTACATCACACCTCCATGGATAGTCCTCTGGACTGTGTTCCTGGTCTTAATATTAGATTCTTTTAAGGCAACTATCAGCATTCTCTGGGGAGGAAAAGCATTTAAATAATCACTTTCGTTTGTGAAATTCTGGTGATGATTTCCCCACAAATAACTATATTATGAACTCCTTCCAGTCCCTCCCCCCACAATGTGTTTGACCTCCTCCAGCTGCTCTCTTCGCAACCCCCACTCCCACTTTAAAACCTTCCCTTTAATTGCTTGCATTAATGCCCCGAGGTTCTGTGAGAGAAGCTACAGAAACCTTGATTTTATTTTCCCAAGGAAGCAATTACAAATCTGGGTTAATATGAAATCAAGTTGTTTGTAAATGCAACTGTTTAAAGTTTGCCTCCAGGGAAATCATGCAAAAATAGGGCATTTTCTACCATTTGGATCTGTGCCAGTCATCCAGCTCCACCTATGCTATAAATCAGATCATCAATTACAATCTGAAGAACATGGCATATGCATTTAAAGAAACATGTTTAGCCAGAAAGTTTTTAATAATAGGATGAGTCTTTCTTTCATGGGAAACAATCCTGTAGTTTACCTGCACCTTGATAAAGCAAGATGCAGCAGGTTGTGACTACCTGACATTTCTGAAGCAGCCACACTTTTAAGGCAAAACAAAGCCATACAGAAGAAACTGAATGAATTAATGGTGGGCCCTTAGATTGGTGGGTTTTTAGGTATTTGTGGCCTCTTTCGGAATGCCTTTTATTTTTCATAGGCAGAGGCAATTCAGAGCAAGGGCATTTTTTCCTGCATTGTATTGACCTCACTCCGAATTACCATAATTTCCCCACAGCTCCATGATCACATAGCCAATTCTTTTGGACTACTCAGCATTGTGATGCCACCATACTCATTACATGACCCCTGATTGAGTGAGATCACCTAGTGAAGAAAAGTTGTTAAAGCTGGTAGTGAAGCTGTAGCAGAACTGGAGAACAGTGTTTGTGAACTGCTATGAAAAGAAAGGAGGAAAAGGCACATTTAAGCATGGGGGGAGAGGTGTTAATTCACACACATCTGCAAAAGTCCCGCTTTCACTTATTCGTGAGTGAATATTCAGCTCAGGTCTAACTTAGAATAAAAGGAGATAAGAACATGAGCGCATTTTCTTCTCAATGCTAAACATTTTTTTTTGCATTGATTTCCCCACACATTCAGGAAAGTTTTATATTATAGGCCTCTTGATGATGGCAGGAACAGGAGAGACCTTGAAACCTTTGAATTAAATATGATCCAAATTTACAGCTGAGTGAAGGATGAAAGATTAATAGGGTTTTCTTTCAGTGTGCTGTAAATCTGAAACTCTGGCGCTGGTTGCAGTGGTAAATTTCAAGCACCCAACTCCTAGTCATGAGCAAGCAGAGTGCACCAGGTTGCCATTATAAGCCTGTAGCACAGAATTATTCCAGTAGCAGTTTATATGAGGAAGAAACTGAAGGATAAATCATCCTCGGGTATAAGCCTTGCCCTATCCCTTGAGTCCTTGATATTATAATCTTTGACATCCCATCCTCCATCTATCTGGCCCCGCTCAGAGCCCTTGACCTAATCTTTCCTGTAGTCCTTGATTCAACAAAATTCTCTACATTTATTGCAGCTCAGCCTGTGCCGTTGCATTTTGCAGCCAATCAAAACGTTTGTTTCAATCTGGAAATACTATGAGCCAAACCTTTTCCATTTTCTGTAGCTTGAATGTCAAGCTGAGCCTCAAGCCATTTCTTCTGAGCTCAAATTCTAAGGAATCTCGCTTTTATTTTTTTAACACTGTACTTGCAAAGTTCTTGCTGATTAGTCATTAGTAAATTTGTTATTGTGAACCAAACAGGCAAATTAGTGAGCAGTGGGTTTCCCTAAGAAGCACTCAAGGCATGTGTTATGTTAGGATGGTGGGGATATTCTCATAATGCTAATATTGGAGCATCCGTTTGTTTAATCCCAACATTAACCATGCAAGCTCACATAGCAATGCTTGGTAGCTCTGCCATAAGTGTGGGATACTTTCCACTCTGCAGCCCATACCCCACAGACCTAGTACGAGTGGTTGGCTAGGTCAGGCACTGGACTGGCGAAGGGCCCCAAGGCTCAGAAGGGACCAGCCTACCACCGACTTGAACTCAGCCCCTCAGGCTGGAAGGATGCCATCTTCATTCTCTGTGGCAGCCCCTAACTTGTGGAACTGCATCCCCACAGATGTGCATCTGGTGCCTTCATTATACAGCTGAAGACGCACCTCTTTACCCTGACTTTTTTTGGACCCACCTTATTTTTTAGGGTTGTCAATTGTTGTCAATTGCTTTTAATACTGTTTTAAATGCTGCAACCCACTCTGGGACCTCAGGGTGAAGGAAGAGAAGTCAAATCACCATCATCACCATCATCATGAAGCTCAGGCACCTGGGGAGGCAGTAGAAAGTAGACCATAAGAGAGATGTGGGGAAGGAAGGGAGGAAGGAATTGCACAAACGCCCCTTGGCCATGCTGGAAGTAGTTGAAATGAAGGAAAAGCCTTCCACCCCAAGCATGAGAATTGTACCAAATTTCTCTCTCCTCTTATATAAATTTTCAAATGCAATTTCTTGACAGCGCTGCCAGTGTGCATCATTGAGGGGGCAGAATTAGCTCTGTGCATTCCTACAGGCTCCTTCACGTATCCAACAGTGAATAACTGAAGAGGGCTAATATATTTGAATTTAATATAATAATTCTTTAAAGTCTCTTTTAACTTCTCTCATCTACATACTGTTCATTGAGGATTCTCCTTTGTTGTTCCTTCATGTACTCTGGCAACACTTTCGACCAATCAGTGTTCCTTCATCACACAGTAAGAAAATCGCCTTATAATAAATTCCTGGCAATAAGCCTAACTAGAGCCGACATGCTATCAAGGCTCCATATACAGTTTTTACCTGCTGAGTGTATGACTGAGGACTTCGGGTGTTCAGTGAGACTGAACTGATTACTACTAAAAATGTTATTTGCTTGAGCGAGGCCTGGATTTGTCCAGTTTCTGATTGTAGACTTTCAGTTTCAATATGCTTTAGGGAACATTCTCTTGTAACAGGTCACTCCAAATCCTTGTCTGTCACAGATTTGAATTAAACATGCCAAGTTGACTGCTACAAATGTAATGAATCTGCACAACCTAATGCACAACACGAAAATCCTCTGTCATTTTAAAGATTGTAATTCTGTTCTATTAAAATCAATATAAGCGTTGTATGGATTTCTATTGGAGTGGGTTTGCAGCCTTAATTTTTGGTTTTCAATGATATCTGAAAGGCTGCTTAAAAAAGAATAGAACAGTTTTTGCCTGTAAAAGGGAGGATTAGAGATAATGGGTTTAAGCTGAAACGGTACAAATGCAGGTTGGGTGTTGGGGAAAATGATTATAAGAACAGCTGGACAATACATTAAG